CACTGCGGGTAGCATTGATAAATACGAATAAGGAATGAAAAACACGAACTGATATGGTCCGTTGTTGGAGGAATGTTCTAATCCAATCAAATAGGAAATCTCGAATGCCATACTTGTAGAGCTTCTATAACAAGGTTCGGTGATTCACCCGACCAAATGCTTTCGAGAGGTCGAGATAAACCACATCCACCGCATCCCCTTCATCGACTGTTCTGGTCCATTCATCTCAAACAAGAAGCGTGTTGGTAGTTATATCGACCAAGAAAATGAATAGCCATTCTGAAATGCAAAGAGTTTGATTTGTACTAATTTGTATCGATTCAGATGAACTGATTGGGTGTTTAAACTGTAAACGCAAAGAACCTGCTAGGTTCGTGGGGACATGAAGTTTTACACAGTCTATATTTAGCAATTCATGCACTTTGCGATAGTGTAACTGCTAGTTGCACTGGGCATCGTCACACTACGAAAACCAATCTGGCGGTCAAGCGAACTGTGCTCGAAAACAAGGCGTCAATTCCAAATAGGGCGAATTTCGCTTCTCTAGAAGAAACATTTACGACGCTAAGGTCGGAATATTGAAGATTTACTGATTTATCATAGCAGACAGAAATGTTGAAATGGAGGAGAGATAAGTTGTGGCTAAAACACGGAAGACGGAGTGTTTTAACAGCGAGAAAACCCTCCGGGGTGTTGGCAGGGCTATTAGCCGACACCCAGTGACTATATGATACACTGGTGAAAAAATGTAAGTTGTCATACACTGTGAAGTATTCAATAAACCGATATGAATCGGAAATGAACGGATGAGTAGGTAAACGAGTGGTCACTGGGTGTCGGCTAATAGCCCTGCCAACACCCCGGAGGGTTTTCTCGCTGTTAAAACACTCCGTCTTCCGTGTTTTAGCCACAACTTANCAATATTCCGACCTTAGCGTCGTAAATGTTTCTTCTAGAGAAGCGAAATTCGCCTTTGTTGGAATTAGTATTTTTGTGGTTGTTTCCGATAGAAGCAAGCTAGACCATTTGTAAGGGATCGAAAATTCTATATGGTAGTTCTCTTTTATCCTTAAATAAACTATCTAAAGCCCCCTCCCCCAGTTACTCCAACGTTTCTAAAAGGAACGCTGATGCCCTGGTGGAATAACATCAAAACGGAATGTGTATACAACCGGTAACATTTAAATATAAACTACCCTGCAATACATTACCCGGCGAAATGCGTGACCAGTAAAACATTTTTATCAAACTGTTCACGGGAACAAGACAGTTTGTGATCCTGATTTTGGTATGAAATTTATCTTTTTAAATGCAATACTCCCAGCCTAACAGTGTCAGCATCAAGCGCGAAACGTGTGGGGGTGGGATGAATGTTAGGTGACCCAGTCGACTAGAGTTTATCAAACACTGCAAACCGTTGTTAATGGCGAATAAACCGGTGAAGAAGAAACGCCCACTGATTTGTGTATATTTTTCTCCAATAGTTCAAGAGGGACAAAGTTGTCAAACGAACATGCAAAGACGACACTTGTCCAAAGCAACCGAAATTGGGACCCGTAGCATGTATAATTATTTCTATATTAGAAGTTTTACGCTCACGAAATTCTATCCAGTTCATACAGTTGTGTATGAACACGGAGTTGATAGATCCATAGACTACACACTGTTGAATAACTTGGCGCTCTCTGCTCAGTGGGTTTCTTATGACGAAGAAGCTAATCCGTTGGTCGCATGGAAGAAATTTACTGAAAATCTTACAAATATAATGACATCCGTGACTAAAACTAGAGTAATCACCAAATCCGGCATCCGAAATTCACCTATTCGAAGCCGCACAAAGAAATGGCTATCGGCGAGGGATTCAGCCTGGCGAGATTATAATCATCTTCCGAATGCTGTCACATGGAATAATTACCGTATGCTGAGGAACCACTGCACCAAGCTGATTCGTGAGGATAAAGTAAAATACCAAGAGGTGCTAGCGCAAAAATTCATTTCTAACCCTAAGCTGTTGTACCAACACGTCAACTCCATTCGAAAAGTAAAGTTTGGTATACCGGTACTAAGTAGCGCTGGAAGAGTTGTAGCCACTCCAATGGAAGCAGCGGAAATGCTGAAAATTCATTATTCCAACGTATTCGCAGCACCGCAGGTTGAAGGTTTACAACTACCCCAACGGTTGCATCATCTTCCACATCCTTCACTCACCTACGTATCATTTACTGCTGAAAACGTCAAAGCAAAACTAATGGCTTTGCGAAAAAACGCAACTCCAGGTGCGGACAACATACACCCGAAATCTCTGATCTTTTTGGCAAATCACATATCCGAACCGCTAGCTATTCTGTTTCAACGAATGTTCGACCAAGCAACACTCCCCGAATCATGGAAACAAGGAGTCATTTCTCCCATATACAAAGGTGGTTGTCGTAGTGACCCCGCTAACTATAGACCTGTGACCCTGCTTCCAGTGTTATCGAAGGTCATGGAGTCAATTGTGGCCGATTCTCTGATGGAACATCTCGAAAGATACAGCATTCTCTCGACAGCTCAACACGGGTTTAGGCAAAAGCGATCCTGCACCACGAACTTGCTTCTCGTTCGAGATGAATGGACCAGTACAGTTGACGAAGGGGATGCGGTGGATGT